GATGGTACACCAAATTTCATAGCCATGCCTGCTACATGAAGGGGAGCATTGCAGTGTGGTGGCAATGCTCCATAGACCCTACGAGCCCGCAGATCGGTGCCACTGAGAAGAAGGAAGTCCGAGTGACTGGCAGGATCAACATGCAAGTTCTCTAAACGTACAATGAAAAAAACCCAAAGTGCACAGAGACATTATAACAACCATTAGGAAGGGCTTACTGTTTTCTTTGGGGGGGTACAACCATAGCGGAAGACGCTCTGCGCTTTATCATTACAATAAAACGTGTCTCTTGTGTGAACGCTGTAAGTCTAATTTCCAGCAGAGGCGGCTCATTATACCCCGTAGGATTTGCAGCATGTGAGAAAGTCATTATCTGCGGTTTGGAGTAAATATACAGATCAGCGAGGAGCCAACTGTGATGTCACTGCGTCAGGTCATTTGGCGTTGGGGAAGGATCTATGACATTATAACAGCAAGGAACGCCAAGAAAGTGGCGCAGGACTGTGGCGTCGTGAGGCTCGGTGCATGGGGCATTACGCGGCATTTCCCTGCCCACCGCCACAAACAAGGTTCCAAGTACAGATTCTGCCTGGAAAAGTGTTACAATGAGAATCTGGTCAGGAGAGGGAAGATGGCGGGAGAGGGAAGATGGCGGGAGAGGGAAGATGTTGGGAGAGGGAAGATGTCGGAAGAGGGAAGATGTCGGAAGAGGGAAGATGTCGGAAGAGGGAAGACATCAAGGTATGGAAGATGTCGGGAGAGGGAAGATGTCGGGAGAGGGAAGATGTGGAGAGAGGGAAGATGTCGGGAGAGGGAAGACATCAAGGGATGGAAGATGTCAGGAGAGGGAAGATGTCGGGAGAGGGAAGATGTCAGGAGAGGGAAGATGTCAGGAGAGGGAAGATGTCAGGAGAGGGAAGATGTCAGGAGAGGGAAGATGTCGGGAGAGGGAAGATGTCGGGAAAGGGAAGATGTCGGGAGAGGGAAGATGTCGGGAGAGGGAAGATGTCGGGAGAGGGAAGATGTCGGGAGAGGGAAGATGTCGGGAGAGGGAAGATGGCGGGAGAGGGAAGATGTCGGGAGAGGGAAGATGTCAGGAGAGGGAAGATGTCAGGAGAGGGAAGATGTCAGGAGAGGGAAGATGTCAGGAGAGGGAAGATGTCGGGAGAGGGAAGATGTCGGGAAAGGGAAGATGTCGGGAGAGGGAAGATGTCGGGAGAGGGAAGATGTCGGGAGAGGGAAGATGTCGGGAGAGGGAAGATGTCGGGAGAGGGAAGATGGCGGGAGAGGGAAGATGTCGGGAGAGGGATGATGTCAAGACAGGGAAGATGTCAGGAGAGGGAAGATGCCGGGAGAGGGAAGATGTCGGGAGAGGGAAGATGTCGGGAGAGGGAAGATGTCGGGAGAGGGAAGATGTCGGGAGAGGGAAGATGTCGGGAGAGGGAAGATGTCGGGAGAGGGAAGATGTCGGGAGAGGGAAGATGTCGGGAGAGGGAAGATGTCGGGAGAGGGAAGATGTCGGGAGAGGGAAGATGTCGGGAGAGGGAAGATGTCGGGAGAGGGAAGATGTCAGGAGAGGGAAGATGTCGGGAGAGGGAAGATGTCGGGAGAGGGAAGATGTCGGGAGAGGGAAGATGTCGGGAGAGGGAAGATGTCGGGAGAGGGAAGATGTCGGGAGAGGGAAGATGTCGGGAGAGGGAAGATGTCGGGAGAGGGAAGATGTCGGGAGAGGGAAGATGTCGGGAGAGGGAAGATGTCGGGAGAGGGAAGATGTCGGGAGAGGGAAGATGTCGGGAGAGGGAAGATGTCGGGAGAGGGAAGATGTCGGGAGAGGGAAGATGTCGGGAGAGGGAAGATGTCGGGAGAGGGAAGATGTCGGGAGAGGGAAGATGTCGGGAGAGGGAAGATGTCGGGAGAGGGAAGATGTCGGGAGAGGGAAGATGTCGGGAGAGGGAAGATGTCGGGAGAGGGAAGATGTCGGGAGAGGGAAGATGTCGGGAGAGGGAAGATGTCGGGAGAGGGAAGACATCAAGGGATGGAAGATGTCGGGAGAGGGAAGACGTCAGGAAGATAAGTCAACAATTCATCACTCATGTTTCAGGAAAGATACATTTACAAAGAGTTTGGAAGAACCGCCCATGGCCATGAATCGAGTCAATCAATGCCGTCTATCTCTGCGCTGGGCATGTTGGGGATCCCTAAATTGTGCACATGGGTCTCACCTCAAGTCTTGTCCATTGTCATCAGAGGAGACGTCATCTATGTGGATCTGGTCACACTCCTTAAAATAAACAACAAAAAGATCATTATGTTATTTGTGTCTATAAATCTTCCATTGCAGAGACTGATGTGACTGGCTCAGTGTTCTCTGTACAGCACTGTGGTATATGTCAGAGCTATATACATGTATAATAATGTGTGACTGTGGGGGGGGGGACATTAGAGTGTAAGCTCCTCTGTACAGAGACTGATGTGACTGTGGGGGGGACATTAGAGTGTAAGCTCCTCTATACAAAGACTGATGTGACTGTGGGGGGACATTAGAGTGTAAGCTCCTCTGTACAGAGACTGATGTGACTGTGGGGGGGACATTAGAGCGTAAGCTCCTCTGTACAGAGGTAATATTGATGACGCTGAAGCTGCTGAATTCTGATTGGTTGGGGTTGGTAGAGAACCAGGAGGTGCAGTGGCTGAGCTGCGCTCCCCGTATCTCCGGCTGTATTATGTAAGGTGGAAGGTATTTGTATGGACTCGGATCTGCTTTTCTCATTTACACTGGAACAGAACGCGGTATCGTGTGACATCCGTGGCTATCACATATCCGTCCTCACGAAGCGCTGCCACTGGCGCACAGACACTACCTCATCGCCCACCGACTGGCACCGTCACCTTTCCAAGGTAAACAGAGAGCAGCGTCAACACCGACCTGCTTGCAAGATATGTTGGTGTGGATGGGGAACACGGGGCCGTGTCTTGTGATATCTGAGGAAGTATGGAGTCTGACCGGCCTTACTGAAAATGAAGTGACATCTCAGAGCAACAGAGTCACTTGGGAAATACTGAAGCCGGGGAATTGGCCTTTTCAGAAGGAACTCCGCAGTGGCGGCTTGTATATTTTCCTCAGCACAGACTTCCTTTAGATCAGGGGTGTCAAACTCAATGTAATGGTGGGCCGCATCAACATTATGGTTGCCCTCAAAGGGCCGGTTGTATCTGTAAGGCCTTGTTCACACCAAATGCAGAGCAGATCCGGTCAGCTTTCTGCACACACACACTAGTCTTTTAGACGCGTTTTTGATGCGTTTTTTGACGTGTTTTTGATGCGTTCCGGGCTCTTTTTGGTAAAAAACTTTTTTTAAGTTTAAAATGGGCTTTCAGTGTGTTTCAGGCATTAGCATGCGTTTTTTGATGCGTTCCAGAGCAGATCCAGAGCAGGTAAAATAGGGCCTGCTGCAGTTTTTTCACCTGCTCTGGATCTGCTCTGCAACTGAACGCTGCGATGTGACCTGGAGCAAAAAATACCATTGGAATACATTGGACGCAGTTTTGATCCGGTCTGCACCTGCTCTGCTCTGGATCTGCTCCGCGCCTGGTGTGAACAAGGCCTTAGACTATATAAATGTATCTAATCTTTATTATAATTGCCTCTGCATTCCATTATCACTGGTTTTAGTAATAACTTACCGTGTTTCCCCGAAAGTAAGACCTACCCCGAAAGTAAAGTCAGCTTTCTGCACACACACACTAGTCTTTTAGACGCGTTTTTGATGCGTTTTTTGACGTGTTTTTGATGCGTTCCGGGCTCTTTTTGGTAAAAAACTTTTTTTAAGTTTAAAATGGGCTTTCAGTGTGTTTCAGGCATTAGCATGCGTTTTTTGATGCGTTCCAGAGCAGATCCAGAGCAGGTAAAATAGGGCCTGCTGCAGTTTTTTCACCTGCTCTGGATCTGCTCTGCAACTGAACGCTGCGATGTGACCTGGAGCAAAAAATACCATTGGAATACATTGGACGCAGTTTTGATCCGGTCTGCACCTGCTCTGCTCTGGATCTGCTCCGCGCCTGGTGTGAACAAGGCCTTAGACTATATAAATGTATCTAATCTTTATTATAATTGCCTCTGCATTCCATTATCACTGGTTTTAGTAATAACTTACCGTGTTTCCCCGAAAGTAAGACCTACCCCGAAAGTAAGACCTAGCGCTATCTTCAGGGATTTCTGTAATATAAGACCTACCCCGAAAATAAGACCTAGTTCGGTGGTAGGTCTTATATTACAGAGATCCGCTAGGTCGTACTTTCGGGGTAGCTGCACATAAACTGATTTTTAAATGTAAAGACCGGCCGCAGCTCCCGCCCACACGCCAGCCGGCCGCAGCTCCCGCCCACACGCCAGCCGGCCGCAGCTCCCGCCCACATGCCCGCCCACACGCCAGCCGGCCGCAGCTCCCGCCC